GGGTTTTGACCAGAAGTACAATGTTTAATTCTTACAGTATGAAAATCTTTGCCTTTACCCAGACTGTCTTTATCTGCAGAATATTGATACATATACCCACATCTGTGTTGAAAGTGCCAGTACAAAATTTAAAAAGTGCCATCCCCAAATTAACAGACAAGTTTTCATATTTTTCAAACTACTTCTAATAGGGAATTACAGGGGGTCTAAAAATGACAGCTCTAGTCCTACAGAGGACAAGTGAAAATGCATTCAGTTAAAAATGAACAATAGTTTACCGTGTGGAATACCTGGTGAAATCATGTTATTAAAAGAGTTTTATTTTGCACAAAATAAAACTAGGGTTTTCCTTGAAAAGAAAAATGTCTCATAGAATATCAAAGAATCACAGAATTCTTAGGGTTTGAAGGGGCCTCTGGAGATCGTCCAGTTCAGCCCCCACAGAAAGAACTATGTTGCCAACTGGTGTTGTCATCGAAATTCCTCCAAATATCTCAATGTAAATTTTGCATACTGGAATATGAAAGGTAATTATTACTTAAACTCTATTTGAACAGATGCAGAATGACAAGTTTTTGATGTAAGCCTTACTGTACATGCTAAAAAGCCATCCTACACATGATACAAATCTCACCAATGCTAATGTCCAGCCTGAGATCTAATCTACATCCTTTCTTTGGTTACTCTAAAACAAATGACATTGACTCTTCAATATTCTTTCATGCAATAGAAGATGACAGCTAGCAGAGCTCTGAAGAGATTATTAGTAATTTCATAACTATAAAATTTACTTTGGACTGTTTCATACTTCTGATAATGTTTATCAGCTTAGTAATTTAGCTGTTTAATTCTTTCATGGATGGTTACATCTGTAAGCATGTGCTTGTTATCCTTCTTTGGACCTTGAGAGACAATGGATGTGAACAAATTCGGGCCACAGTCCAGACAAAGACTATTGCTCTAGTTTCTTTTCTATAGTCTTGTCTTTTCTATAGTCCCTGTCTAACTGTGTCCTAATAAAAGTGCAAGCTGTTGGAAAAGTGTACTTTCCCCGAGGGAAGTTAGGCCAGTCTGACCTTCTCAAGTTATACTGATCAAAGTGATGTACAGATTTTCAGAAATACTCACATACACAAGCTTTCAAAGTGTTTGTTCTGGAACTGATATACAGCAGAGTCAATAACTCTCAAGAATTCTTCTGACTTCTTTAAGACAGAGCCTATATATACTTGCTATTTTTATTCAGTGTTTATCATTGTCACATGCTGCTATTTCACACACTCTTTCATCTACAATGGCCAGATAAATACCATCTGGTTACACTAAAGCCTTCAGGCAAAATAATAAAGATGTAGATGTGTACCTAATGCTCTTTCAGGTGCAAGAATGATAACAATTCCCACGTCCCATGAGACCTGCCTTTTAACACCAGACAAAGATGGATGTGAACGTTTAGTACATTTATTCAGAAGGGGGGGGGGGGGGGGAAACTACATTCTCATCCTTTCTTCACAAACTTATTTCTGCTTTTCACTTGATAGTGTAGTAAAACAGTATCAACAAATGTAGCACGAATTTCTCCTTCTTCTTTTCCCTTCTAAATAGTTCTTCCAGACTTCAGTACCTGAGATGTCCTTCAGCTGTGCTGCAGTGTCCATGTGATTATTAGCAACTTATTCTAATGAACACAAATAAATACTGCCTAGCAGCCTGGTCCTCCCCAGGCAGCACCACGATGTTCTGTCATTAATGATATGGACAAGTCATCTTCAGGAGTACAGAGAGGGGAGAAACCTGTGGGAAATTGCTATTCTTTGGAAAGGCTGTCATGTGCCAGATAAACTTCCACTGGAAATGTATCAAGATCCAAACTTGTAATAAAGAGAATGAATAAATTCTAAGAAAAAAATTCCATCCATTGATTGCAACTGGATGTGAAGCAAAATCAGAAAGCAACATCCCTGTGTAAAGTTAATCTAGTCTTAGTCACTGTCAAAGACTAATCAAATCTGATGTCTTCTAAAACAAAATTGCCACTGAAAAGTGCCAAAAAATATTAATATGCATAAATAGTGACAAAAAGCTCAACACATTTGAAAATTTGCTTGCTCTAAAATGGCACCATGTTCTATAAGGTATGTCTGGCATTCACTGTCCTTAAAGTGAAACATATACTTGCTGTGTTTTAATCTTATTGAGCAAGTCAACAGTATATTTAAGATTGCTGGACTTAAAAAAAAAAATCAAAAATTGAATTGCTAAGAAAGACTACTTAGACTAAAAGTTGCATACTACAAAATTTAAAAAGCAATTCACCTTTTCTTCAGATTTTTTTCCCCATTCACATTTTGCTAACACAATTTCACAAAGTGTGCTAGTACTCCTCACAGTCACTAAAATGTTCTTTTTAATCTCTTTTGTTTACTACTGAAGACAACAGCCAAGAGCTGATGATGTCTTAGGTAAGTATAGGTTCTTCCTGAAATGGCACAGGCTCTTCTGAGGAATTGAGATTTATAGAACTGAAAGCAAAATGCATTTCAAGAAACACTGTATCTGTGTGGAATTCAGATTTCATTCACATGGGAAATGTCATAGTATGGGAAATAAAGTCCTCAAGTAAAGTTGTGTTTATCAGAAGTTTGTTTTCCATGCAATAAATTTCCATCAGTGTTGCTGGATTGAAAAAGACATGTCAACCTTATCTTTTAAAAATTACCAGGACTGCGCTGCCATTTTATTCCAATGAGAATGAAAAACAAAATTCTCAACCAGTCCTGACACAAATATGAAATGTTCATATGAAATAAAATGTCCTTTTCATGTGTGCATAACTCATTTTAGCACTGTGAATGAGAAATAATGCTAAAAAAAATGTCACATGCATAAGTATGCCTAATTAATTTCTTGTTATACTCCTGACAGACCAGTTGCTGGACTTCTGCATAACAAATAATGAAATTATCTTGATCTCTTACAAGAGAAATTGTTTGTCTGTCACTTTGTGTCTGCAGAGCCTAAAAAAAATGACAACTATGTTCCACACTGTAATTCATAAAGTGTTCTTAATCTACATAATTTATATAATATGGAATACACGTGACGGCCACAATAGCATGGAAAGCGATGTTGATCAATCATGGATCTATCATTTATCTGCTCTGTAAGGGGTAACAGCTGGTTGGCTGCACTTCATTCTGTGTTACTGCCTTATTTCCACCCCAAGGCTGAGCCAGTAATTACCCCAGCCTTAACAGTAAATCTGGCTGAAAGATATGCCTGGACTGCTGCCATGGAGGCTCCAAAAGGCTGGATGTAGAGTGGCCACCCCAAAGCATCTCATTCCTGCTTGACACCAACAAAAAAAAAAAAAAAAAAAAAAGCCAACAGGGAAATTCAGCTTGTTGGTTCCCCTTTCATAATTATATCATGCTTCATGCAAACCATAAGCTTCAATAGGTGAAGAGGCCTTGTAAGAAATTTGACCATTTGCCATCTTATCATTAGGTAATGACATTTTAATAGTTTAATTAACCATTAGGCAGTGAGAAGTTCAGCATGAGAATGGCTGAAACTGCGTAGTAATTAAGTTATGAAACAAGATATGCTGCAGGGAGAAACACTCCTATTTTTTTTGAAGGGGGTCTTACGGTGGGTGATAGAACAAGAAGGAGGCTGCTCAGTCTCCAAAGGTACTATGAAAGTGTCAGAGGGCATTTAAAAAATTAAAATAACTGTAAATAATAAGAAGAACTTTTGACATTACAAATGCCCATTAGGAACAAAATGTACATAAAATAAAACCATCCTAAGACATTACAGTACAATACAAGCGTTGAGTTAATAATACAGTGTTGACAGTTTTGTTTCTCACCTATCCAAAAGAATTTTAAAAAGGGTGAAAATGTAAAAATAGACAACTGCAGAACTTCTAATCAACTAGCACCTGGGAAGCAGTGCATGTGACCCAAGGAGTTACACCTGCTAATGAAGCGACATGGAAACAGCTGCACTACAAACTATTTTTAGCAGCAGAAGGAACAAGTCCCAGTGACACCGGGTGAGTTGAGGAGCAGAGAGTTAGACAAGTTCCCTGCAGGTCCCTCAGTCTACACTGATCCCTCACCCATAACTCTGGAGAGCTCTGTGGAACTATTGTAGCTGTTTTTTCCCCACTTTGTATCAGTAGTGCAAAGGACTCAAAAGTGCCCCTTTGAGCCAGCCAGCAACAGATAGTCAGGCACAGATACAGCTGAGTAACACAGCAACTACAAATGGAAAGAAAGATGATATCTGGCACTCCAGTAACAGTGCAAGCAAATTATTTACTTAAGAATAAATTATCAGTCCACCACCAAGCATAATAAACACAAAACCCTGAAGCTCTCTGTCCCTGAGTTTTCCCCAGCAGAAACTTCAGAACATGTTTTCTAGTTAAAATACTCAAGGAATGTAAAACCAATCTGATTTTCTTAAGGCCCTGTAGGTAGTTTAAAATACTAAAGCAAATGAAGCCCACTTGCATAAAATGCTGTTGAATGTAAGATTCTGGCTGTGTGCAGCAATTTGAAAAAAATGTCAGTAGAATACTACTGCAATGCATTTTACCTTTAAAATATGTGCACTTCAGCAATTAGATGTACATGTATACATGTACACATAGGTAGCACAGCAGAGGAAGAGAGAGAGAGAATTTAAGCTGATGCCAAATCCCAGTGCTAGAAGAAACATGAAGGTAAATGGAATCTGCTGCCTATGTCTCCAAGTTCCCTTTGATGCAAGGAGCACTTACATTTAGAATTTGAATAGGGAAGCAGAGGGTAGAAGTGTCACAGGTAACTCCTGTAAAAGCCCAGTGACTAGAGCGATGCCCTACCAGGGGTCTGTAGGATGGCTGAAGTGCTGTGAGGATTATCTTCAGAGCATTTCAAAGCATCTGAAGTTAGTTGTGTATATAAACAAGTATACAGCTACAGCATGTCTCATAGGCCTCAACTCACCTGTCATAGATGGTGCCAGTTTTCTTTGCCCTTTGTGGTCCACAGTACCTTCATAAGCCACAGTCACATCATACACTGCATCCAGGTAGTCTTTCATTGAGTCAATGGCTACATGAGTTGCCTTCACCCGTGGAGTTAGCACATGCTTTAATATAGCAAGTCCTAGAGGGGAAAAAATAAAAAATAACTACAGTGTTTGAAAATAAACTGGACTACATTTACAAAAGGAACATCACACCAAGGAATGTCAGCTTCTCCATTCAAAATCACAAAAGGTTTATTTTCCATCTCAATTCTCAGTTGAGAGAGTGTGCACGTGTACTCACCGCTTATGCTCTACTGAACACATGTAGAAGATGAAAAAGAAATCCTAAAGGACATTAACAATAGAAAGGCTGCTCAGTAGGAGGGCCTTTTTTTACAACTCCTCACTAGAAGTAGTGATGGTTTTAATGTGGCTCATGAGTGATGACACAGCACTTTACTGTTTATGTGTGTCCAATTGAGGTGAAAAAAAAGAGCAAATTATCTGAGGAAATACTAAACACATATAGCATCACCTCCTGAAATTCTGTATCAGAAACAGATTTGACAGATAATCACCAAGAACTTTAAGCACACCTAATGCTTATCCAGCATTTTACTTCCCAAGGACAAACCAATTTAGTGAACATACTGAATCCTAACCTACTCACTATCCCAACAGAATATTAGCAGCCGTGAGGAAAATACATCACCGAGAACCAAAACCAAGGAGGAAATCTTCTGTGCTTCCCTGCAAACAATCTGTTACAACTGACTTGGCTACTGACAAACTCATACTGACAGAAATCAACTTTTAACTTTTCCAGGCCAAGCCACAGCGATTGGTATGTCAAGTACACAAGAATACCAGGTTTAACATCACTCCACACATCTTAACAACAGTACTTCATATCCATGTTTACTTCAGTTGACCACTTACACTCAGAGCATACTTAAGAACATTGAAACAAACTGGGCCCAAAAGTACAAACCTCTTTCCAGAATTTTAATACACAATGACTTTCAAAATTAAAACAAGCAAACAGAGAAGCCCAAACTCAAAACCTTTTCTTGACCTGAACACACCCCTTCCACACTTACTTGAAAGGGCTTCTAGAAAAAAAACCAAAACATGCTATGTAAAAATTTTCACTATTTTTCTATGTGTATGTTTCTCAAAGAGAAATATCAGAATAAAATTGTGGCTTTTCATTTCCAGCCTATTTTTCATTGGCTTACTCTTCAGTCCATTTCTAAAGAACCATCCATTGGTGAATCCACTGGTTCCTGGTGGGTGAACAGAATGTTTTTCTAAACCAAAGTATTGTGCTATTGCTATTAATACCTTTCTGCTTGCTAAATCAATTCAAGACATTATATATTATGTCCTGATTTTGTACTGAACTCCCTTGCTGGGTAAAACATACTCTGATCTAACATTCTGAAAATATCTAGTGAACACTGTAAGATAATGCTCGTTTCTACACCAGTCTAACATTCTTAAGAGTGGAACATTTCAATATAAATGAGTATCTTGATTTCTTAATATTTGCTAAGAATCTCCTTGTCTGAATGCAAAGATGAAAGACTGTTTATCAGCACTCCTTCTGAAGCCATTGTTCCATGCCTACTGGCAATAGTGATAACTGTCTATGCAAAATGTTATATGGATCATGTAAATATTTTGAAGCATAACATAGTGGTACTGTTTTCTTAGCTTGTGAACTGTTACATCAAACAGCTAATTATGTTATGTTTCAAAATGTTTACTCTGTAAATGAAGCACTGAATATTCTCTTGCTGTGTCAGCAATGATATTAGTGTGGACATGACACTCAACACAACTCTTGCTGAGCCAAATTCCCAAACATATTCTAAAAACACTGTCATTCCTTTCCTGCCAAACTCATCTTCCCCTTCACCAAACTATTATTGTGAGGAAGAAAAAGGTAAAATTGTGAGAATTGAATCATCTAGACAAATTATTGTTAGGTATCTATGACTATTAACTGCTAATTTTTTTTTAATCCACGGCCAGCTCTGGTGATGAAGACGGTCAGTGACAATCTGTGAAGTGCAAATGTAGAATAAGTCACTCCTATTCCACATGCTCTCAGTGAGCTCTTACAGTTTAAGTACAATATGAGTATGTATCTAAATCAATAAACTCCATAATCCATTATTCAGAAACACTACAGTGCATGATAAACATGCAGCAACACCAGTTCAGTACATCCTTTTAAAGAATCTGTTTTATAAAAACATTACTACATATTCTTGCAATTACTTTGCTAAAATCAACATAACAGAATTTAAATCCAAGTAGTTACAGTATAGTTACCTTGGCAAGATGCCTGCATCCAATTCACAAAACACACTGTGCTGTGCTTAAACTGTTTTTAATGTTGTGCAATATAGTTAGGACCCTCTGTCAAAGTATTTAAGGTCATGAGATTTTGTTTTAAATGCCAAAGAAAATGAACTAGATACTAGTAACATTGTAACATTCTACCTTAAAAAGCCACAGCTTTGCTCTTCTAACTTTTGAATGATAGACATTAAAAAAAAAAAATCTGAAGAAATATGATGAGCAGTGATACTTCAAATATCATCCATTTAAAACATTATTGTAAGATGCAGAATTACTTCAGAAAGTCTGCAAGAAAACTGAATGAAATAAAATAATTACTTTGGCAAGTACAAAGGCCCAGATCAATACAATCTATAGAACTGAATTTTTCATCTAAACACAAAATAACAAAAAGACACTAAACAAAACATCATTTATCTAACTTCATCGGGGTGAAGTAACATATAATAGTAGCTAAGTGCAACTCTGTGTCGAAGATTACCGTCCTTTTCACTTCATCTAGGCCAGAAACTCAGAGCTGTTCAATACAGGCAGGCCATCCACATTTTCAGAATTGGACTTCATTACTTATATTTCTACTCCTGATGTATACACACCACATTTTAAAAAGAAAACAGTAAAAGTCCTCAGCTCTAATTTAAGAATACTCTATGCGTATTACATTAGCATTACCACATTTCATCAACACAAGTTAATTGTTCACTGAAAGTGGATGTCAGAAATTAGTTTGAGGTCTCCACACCTCTCTCCCCTCCCCATGAAACCATGTACTTGAAACTCAACTTTCAAGTACACAAAAACCGAAACCAGGGTGAAAATCAATGAACAATTGATTTCAAGACCAGTTAGATCCTTTCTTTTTTCATGTGAATGTGTGTGCAGTGAAGATATTAGACAGAAAGCTCTGCAGTTACGTGCAGTACCCCAAGTACTCACCCAACTCTTTATTTCCCACCAGCTTTCTGGAATGCCTCCAGTGATTCAAAGCTTTACATACTGAAACCAGAGTCCATAGCTAGACTTAAAAATAACAAATGGTGGGAGAGCTCATCCATTTGTATGCTAGTGCTCCATCGACTTACAGAAACAGGACTCAGCTGATAGCAGTATTAAAAAACTGCATGCAGTAGTAAAATTGTTTTTCTGTTATCATGAACTAAAGTATACAGGAAATGCAACTAATCTCCACAGGATGAGTATGACCAGCCTACAGCAAGACATGGGAGACACCACACATTGGTACACTTTCTTCCAAGATGGGTATCTACAGAAATACAATGGAGCTCCTTGTTTTCCTATCTTAATTTCCTAAGGAAAACGTTTAATAACCTACTCTTTCTAAAAACTATATTCTTTGTCCACATCTCACTGAGCACTTTTAGACCAAGCCTGCTTTCATGAAAGTGTAGAATAAATACAATCAAAAGCTATTTTCTTTAGAGACAATTCCAAATAACTTTTAAGGATATTGAACACTTTGAATTGCCTTAGAATACAATTGAAAACTAATGCCAAGATCTAGAAGGGAGACATTTTCAATTAGCTCCATTGAAACACCTCTTTTTTATATGACTTGTAAAACAATTTTGAGATAAGCATATAATGCATACACAAGCATCTTAGGAGAAAGCATATTTACCAAGCAAAGCTTAGCATTAAAAAATATGTACATTAGCAACTTTTCTCCATAAAATGAAAGAAGATAATAAATGCATACCTTAAATGTTTGCTTGAGGAAATGAGCTTTCTTAGAAATTGAACATTAATGCAAAATTCCAGAAACGCCTTTCACCAGGGAAGATTGTTTTGTCTTCATTCAGCAAAAAGAAGCCAAGTTAAATTTAAGAAGCTTGTCATTCCTTTGGCTTTGACTTTTCAGAGTTAGTAATATTAGGAGTAGGAGGGCTTTGGATTATTTCTATTTATTTTCAAAATTATAAAATGCCATATGTTAACATTTTGATAAAATTAATATTCTACTAAACCAAAGAAATTTGTGGTGTTTGGGGTGTTCTGTGCAGGGCCACGATTCAGACCCAATGATCCTGATGGGTAATTTCCAACACAGCATATTCTATGATTCTATGACTGACTACTACAAAATTATAAGAAGTCCACATATAGATATTTTGGCTATATACAAATGAAATAAATTTCATACCAGAAGCTAGCATAAAAATAATTATAATGTATATTGTGGGGTTTATAAACATTTTTCTCTATAGTCCAATATCATTAAAAGACCCAGGCTTAAAAGATTTACAGTTTGAATTAAATAGATCCAATAAAAATTACCACTTCTATTATTATGACAAACTTAGTTAAATCCCAATGAAAATATGAGTGCCACCTACATATTAAGACTGGACTCAGCAACTCAAGCTCACTGATTAGTGGGGAAGATGTCCCATACTTTTAAGATGCCTAAACCCATGGAACACAGCCTGAAAGGTTATCACCAGTATGTAAGCTGAGTGAACTGCATCAGACTTTGAAGACAGGAACCATGTTGGCTGACTACTCCCACACAATGGAAAACAAAAGCAAACTTGACTAATGACTATATACTTAAATACCGGAAACTGGAATGCAAACGCTCAGAAGACAAGGGGCAAAACCCATGCCATTATATCCTTAGTTCTTTGAGACAGCAGAAGAAGAAATATTTGATTATGGGAATGTTACAAGATGCATCATTAGAATCACGGAAGTCACTAAATATACTGAAACATGGGGGAGTGCCCATCCTGGTAGCAATTGCTGGAGTCATCTCACCCAAGCACCTACTTTGTGCCAGGAGAGGACAAAGAGGTGTATCAGGCTCAAATCCAGCTACAGGGCACACATGCCCCTTAGCTTGGAAGCCTCCACCAGAAATGAGAAAACCTAACACACATCTATGTCTGATATTCTGGCAACACGTGGCTTATGTGGCTTGTTGTAGCTGTAAAATCCCAGCAAATATTGTTATTTTGGGCAAAAATTATAAATACTAGATTAAGTCTCTTAACTTCACAAAATTAAACTTGTTCTGTGATTAACTGCTGCATCAATCCTATTACAAATAACCAAACAACTTAGTTTTAGAGACTTTTGCTTTCATTTTTAAATGTCAACAAGTTTCTTTCCCAATACAATCAAACATATTTTGAGTTTACCTTCTATCCCAGGTAAGAAGCTGATCTGAGGGGAATCTACTGCCACTTGTAAAAGCTATGAGTAATCCTTCAGTTTTCAGAGGTACTAGCATTGCTCTTAGGTGACAACATTCTCAGTTCATCACCACAAAATCAGTATTCTTGGAAGTAAGCAACTTTCTGTTGCTAATTCTGACTGAATTCAATTCAGTGGGCAGAACTTAAAATAGACCCACCCTGTGTGTTTGATTTGCTTGTTTCATAAAGAAGAAAACCATCTGTTCTTGTCAGAAATCAAGATTTTGTGTAGAACTCAAGCCCTATGGCAAAACAAACCGTAGCGTGAATTATTTTTAAATGTTGCCTCTCTTTCAAGGGCTTAAAGCTTAAAATGTTTTGCTGCTTGATATCCTTCCATCCTATTCATAGACAGTTAAGATTTATTTAAATATTCATATCAGTGGGTGAAGACATAATAGTTGAAATCAGCAACGTCACAATACTTCATTGTATGCCAATATCAGCTTCTTAAAAATTAATTTAAAATTTCTTTTTGTTGAACTGGTCCTAGAACCAACTGTAAAGAACCAGTAACTGTATTCAAAACTTAAAAAGAACATCAAGATATGAGATGCAGCTCATTAATTGGTCCCACTAAAGCAGGTAATTAAGTTCAGCCCAAGAATTCTGCCTAAACCAGTGAAACTTCTCTAGAAGAGGATGCAGCTCACAGAGAGTAAAAAAGGCTTTTTATACTTCCTCTCTGCAAAACTACTAAAACATATACACAGACTAATGTCAAAACCAGTATTTCAGACAGCATCATAAACATTGAGTTATGCTTGTGCTCTAGGAATACCTTTGTTATATTTGGGGGGCGATAGCTCTGGTTCTAAGACTGGTTTCTAGTTTAACTCTTCTTAATTTAACCACTTTTCCTAATATTATACTTGCAGTATTTTCTCAATATAAAATTGAGCAAAAATGTAGGGAAAAATTATTTCAAGGTACAAAACAAGCAAACAAATTCCCCTACATGTCGGTAAGGCCCACATTGAAGCACCATGCTCTATAACAAATATACTAAGATGACAAGACAAAATTCTTAAACTTCATTATACCCACACAAAAAACGAAGTGCAATTTTATTTAAACTGTAGCTTATAGTATGTCCTCCTCATTCCTATGGCTGGCAGAACTACCACGTGTTACTACCCTTCCTAAAGCTGTAGGAAGTCAGAAGTCTCTGGGATCCTTTGGACAAGCATGGCAAGGTGTTTTTGCTGGAGCTCAGCAGTGTCCAGTAACAGCACTCCCAGGGAGCACGGCCATTGCTCAGCCTGCCCTGGCCGTGGCAGGCTGTGGCTGTGGCTCCCACGCTGCAGCCCCAGCACCCAGCCAGCACCGTGGGCACATCGGGGCTGCTGAGGACAAGCCACAGGCCAGGGCCAGCAGCACTGCACAGCAGCAGGTGGGACCTGGGGAGCAGGAATCACATCCTGCCAGCAGCCACGTGGAGCTCCCCATCCCCACAGCTCCCGGCACACTGGGATGTGCCCTGGACTGGCACGTGCTCAAGGCTCAGCCTTCAGAACAGCCTGGTTCTGCTCTCAGTGTCGGCCCCTGCTTCTCAACACACTTGCACGAGGAACGCTCCAGTTCCCAGGAGCATCTGCATCTGTGTGGATATGCAGGTGAGCAGGGCCCCAGGGGAGCACAGACTGCTTCCCATCCTCCCCACCTAAAATTGTGGCAGAGGCCAACAACACAAGAATTTAGCAGTGTGGAGAAGGAGATCAAGAGGATTCCGAAAGAGAATTGGAGATACTTCTTGTTTAATAATTATTTGTTGTGAGATTTTTTAAAAGGAGTAATTGTTGTAAAATAAAAACAGACCGCTACTGGGAAGAAAACCAGTAGAAGAAACAAACAGGTGCTTGGAAAGCACAAAAGCAGTGTTTTACTGTTTTGCATTCTGCAGAGATGCAATTAAAAGGTGAAATAAAAAAAGAAGGTGAGGAAGCAAAACCCTATCAAACAACCCCTCCCTCTGAACTCTCAAAGAACCACCAACCTAAATGAAACATTTGACTTTCATTTCCAACAGGAAACTGAAGCGATGAACAAATACATTATGACTTCAGCTCTCCTGCTCATACACGCAAACAAATTCCATTCTTCCCAAGGAGCAGAAAGGCATATATCCTTTTGGACAAGAGTTAACAATACTTAATAGCTTGATTATATCAACAGGCTGATTCACAGACTTGTGAATTCATTTCACTGTGTGTGTCACAGAGATTAATTTACCAGACCTATTTGTTATTCTCTGTTTACTTTTAGAGTGAATTATTTCACTTTTGGTCAACAGGAAAAAACAAAATCAGGAAACACGTTCACTGAACTGTTGGATTTAAAGTTTACGTGCATATAATGTGAGAAAATATGAAAAATCTTGGGACTCTTGGATTTTTTGCAAGCCTTTCCAAAGATGAAGTAATTCCATCTGTGTTATAGTGACAATGTCAACAATCAAAGCAACTCCAGAATAAAGTTCAACCTCGGAACAGTGAGACTGGAAGGTGAGAGACGAAGAAAACCAAAATGCCATAGGAGTACCAACACTAATGAAAAGTGAAATGATATAAGACTGTTTCCTTTAAGGCACCACAAGCTTTATGCAAAATATTCTTTATATTTACTAACAACTGTAATTGGAGTTACAATATCAACTTAGACAGATCAGTGCCCTGATTCAGTGTAGGCAATTCTTACAACCTTAAGGAGAAAGAAAATAAGAAAATACAAAAGCTATAGGTAGAAACTATAGCGAGCCTTCTGGAGTACAGTTACTATTGTACATTGTAAAATGCATGAAATGCCTGTATATGAACCACTTTAATCTTATTCTGTGAGAAAAACAGGAGTTTATACTATTCTAAGCCTTTAAACACCAATCATGCAGGTTTAAAAGTCCAGTTAAGGTGAGATGATCTTCATATTATATAACAATTTTATATAACATATGTTAGCACCATAACAAAATAATTCTTTCAAAATCTTTTTTGCTTACCTTCCTTTTCAGCAAATGATTGACTATCCGCAATGACTTTTGGTATTTCTGGATTGTAACGAGTCCCCTCTGGAAAAATCACCAAATACATCTGTGGAATTAAAAAAGAAATAAAACAGTTCTTATAATGAATGTAAACTGACTGTTTTTAAAGAATTATCAACATTTTACAGGTCCATATTTTATTTAGCTCACACCATTGACTATTGTAAGGATCAAAAGAAAATCAGAACACTTGAGCTGAAATTTCTTAGCTCTAAGAAACTTACTGTTCAAGGTTCAAAATAATTTAATTTGAATAAATTACAAAGTGCCCAATTTTTTTTTAATAGTGATCTTGCCCCTAGTCTTTCCTTATACTGAAATATACAATAATTAATTCATTTTTAGACATACTATTAATTGAAATGATGATAGATCTTGGGTGCCTTTTATGTCTCTCACTGAATTGGATATTAAATATATTAGGAACTCATATTAGCGTAATTTGAACTTTAAAGTCACATTCCTTTAAGCATGCATGTCTGCAAGGTTAGATTTCCCAAGTAAATTAATTTGCTTGCCTGTTCAGCACCGAATCTATGGGTTCTCAAATCACTAGTTAGGTAAAGGCTGCCTAAGTATCTGCATATCTGCAGATTATGTAGATTATGTACCCAAATAGGAAGAGTCAAATTTGACAACTTTCCATTTTCTTTTGAAACAGAACAGAGGGGTTTTTTTTTTTGTTTTGTTTTGTTTTTTTCTTTTTGCCTGTGTGTCTTTCGTATCTCCTACAAAGCTGATGCAAAACATCACTTAAACATTGAAAATTTCATATTGAGGACTCATCTGCAGAATCAACTATGGTCACAAATGATAACTGCTGCACAGCTGAACATGACACATTCCTTGTAAAATATCTACTGTAAATACTTAATTTATTAACTTTGCAGAAAGCAATCTCAATAAACATTTGAAAGAAAACAAGATAATGAAATTACAAAACAGTTCAAGGAATATTGTCAGTGATTAGACAAAGACTTTGATAACTGGGAGTGCACATCACATAAAGATGCAAAGTTAAATTAAAATTCAAAAAGAGACACACAGGAATGCAAAAACATCAGACTATGCTGGTATTTGCACTTAATGATTGTGGAACAGCTACAGAAAGGGCTGAGTGCCAAAAGACAAGCCCCAGCAAATGACCTCTCCAGAATCACCCCACAGTGAGGAAGGTTGAAAGATGCACTAAAATGCAGAGGTGGGAAGAAATCTAGGAAATGTGCCAACCAGAGAAGCCAGCTGGAGATCAAGAAAAAAGAGAGCTGAATACATACCTTAGACCCTGACAGGGAAAAAAAAAATAAAATAAACATAAAAAATAGCAAAACCAGTGTCAGTAGAGTAAAGAGAGCTAGGAGAAAGGCTGTACTTGTCACAGTATGTTTGAGGGAAACTGGCAGACTGCAGAGGCAGGTGAAGCCCAAGAATGTTCAAGGACCCGCAGAAAAGATGCATATAGATTTGGTGGTGAGGCAACAAAAGAAAATGGGTTTAAGAGTCAAGGTGCTTACTTTTTCATATAAAACTGTAGCATAAATATAGGGACAAGTACAGGAATCCTTAGACCCAGATGTAGTTCACACTTCCCCCAGTCATCTATACATTTCATATATGAAGTATAATGTTGAGATATTTAAGTGACTAAGTAAAATATTTCAGAGGTAGCTGGAAAGGACATAATATTCAAATCCAGATGCATTCTTCTTTCTTTTCATATATGTGCTTATGTGCAAAACTTGTAATTTGGATGCTTAAAATGGTACTTCAATATGAGCTGTTCCAGTTCCACCCCCATTAAAGACTGCATTGCTCAGCTCTAAAGGGTAATACAGCAACTGCAAGAGGTTATAGAGCAAAGGAAGTGAAGCACACAGGACAGGAATACCATTCTTGGTACATAGCTTAGCACTTACAAGCAGGCAACATTGTTACTGGTCTTCAAAACAGATAATCACCCCCAAAGCAGGCGGCACAACAGGGAACAGTATCTACTTACTCCAGTCCTATGTGTTTAACACAAACCAGGGACTGAAATTGTATTTTACTTATTAGTAAACATCTACAACACAAGCAGACAAACAGGTGTGTTGACCAGAATCAGAGTATCTCTGAGTTGAAAGCATACCAACAAGACATAGAAGTGGCCTTTGCTTTAAATTCAGCATATGATAACCTACTATAAAGCTCATTAGGACTGTTTTAAGAGTAGAATTCATGAATGTAAATAGATGACCTACTTATACTCACATACAGTGCTGCACAAGACAAAGATATCCTGCAAGTGCCAGAACCACTTGTACGACTGGCTTTTCTCCCACCATGGGCAGCAGAAGTTAAATCCTTAAGCACTATTTCAAAAGACTGTAAGAACTACAAATCTCTAAGATTTTAATAACTAAATAAGCTTCCCTGAACTTGGAATAAGAACTTGTAGAAACATTTTAATTGCCTAGAAACACTAGCTGCAGTTTAGGCCATTTTTAATACAGATTTTTCAATTAGGGCAATTAGCTACATAAAAGTTACACACTTTATTGCTGCAAAATACAGTCGTCATGTTCAAAACAGCAGAGACAGTTTTGAATTACCACAGTCCCTGATTCATTAAGACACTGATTTTAACCCAAGCAATAGGTCCCTATGCTCAAGTATGTGGTACTTTCACTCCTTCTGTGGAACAGGTGGGTGTCAATAAACTTGGTATCTCTCATCAATTTGAAAGCTTCAAGGAGTGGATCAGAATTCATTTAGTAGAACCCTACTGATTCTTGTTGGAGCCAGAAAATCAAAAAAGATGCAACTCTTTTGCATTTTGCCAGTCAGGGGCTACCTGAAGAGTCCTCAGTGCAATGTCAGTGCACTTGTCACAACCCACAAATGAAAGGAATGGAAGATGGTAACTGCATTTTCCCAAAGAGCAACGCTTCCTTTTCCCAGCACTGTCGAGGTCTCACAGGAAAACAGAAAGAGCAGTGGCACTAAGTGGGGTTGTGCTTTCAGACAGGGGAGAGGGCAGCTGAGAGAGTCCCTGATATAGATCAGAGTGCCACAAATTGAGGTATGGATGGAGCAAGGGAAAGCAGCAAAGTGACACATGAGTCCCTGGAATACAGAACAACCATAAACATACAGCAAGAAAAAGTGGCCAAGGGCTTTGGAGAACATACTAGAGTGAGTAGATGCTACTCTGTAGAAGAACATAGGGCATGAAGAAGTGGTAACTACTGACTAAAGCTATCTTGCATTTACTGGGCTGTTCTCATGTCAAAAAGGGAAAACAAATATTTTAATTTACAAAATTCAAAATTGTCTTAAACAATGCACTTACTTAGTTATAATATTATTATTACTGCTATTGTATCCTGACAGCTAGACAGATTCATATCTGCATCCATTTAGACCACTGCCTAGAAAGTATGCTTCTAGTGAATTGGATGAGAATCATTACCACTCAGATCAATAACTGAAAAGCATATAGTATGAGAAAACCTATCTGGTATCATTGAAACAAAATACAAAAGGTGATGTGGGAAAAGCAGGCAAGGACATCTGTGATTTACAGTTGTCAGGGATTTGCAAATTAGTAACTATATCACAAAATTATTACATGAAGCCTCATAGCAATTGTATTAATGTGTCTGTAGCCTCTATGTTTTTATTGTTTGATTAGCATTGCTTCCTATAACAATGACTTATTCTATGACTAAATGAATGACAAAACCAAAACGCATAGTAATCAGCTAAATATTGGTTGTACAGGGTTAAATCCCACATCTCAGAATGAAGATTTCCTACTCTTGATGCATGATTAAAAAATAGAAGTGACATTTTCACTTATCAAATGGAAGACTGCTGTTCAGAAGAGTTAACTTTCTTTATAAATCAAGTAGATTAGCATATCAAGTAATAGCTGGATACCCATTCATTTGGCTTACATTCATCTATGGCTTACATTAAAACAACATTAACACAAAAGTGTTCTTTAAACACTGTGACAGTTTCTGATCTCACAAGACATATGATTGCAATTTTTTAGCAATCAGTCAAATTTTACAGAATTTTAAACCAAATCACACCATCTTGAGTGAATTTTATCAACAAAAGTCCCAATAATGCATATAATTCAATGAGAGTTTGAAAAGCAAACTGACTTCCAGAAATAACTAAGAAAATATACTAGTTCAAGATGCCCACTAAGAAAATACAGGTGCAACAGTGTTTCAGTCTGCTATCAGCTTTGAGCCTGTCTGACACTGATGTGGTATATCTGGGAAGAGTCGTGGACCAGCTGCAGACCTGATGGCAGGAAAAGGGGTTGTTTATAGCAGACAGGTGGATGAAGTCAGAAGATGAGGTGAGCAAGGAGAAACACATAGTCCACCATTGTCTACACAAAAGGAGGCATACCAGAGCACTGATCAGGTTATACTGTGCATGTAAGAGGCCAAGAAGCAGCCTTACTTTGCCTGTCAGTTTTAACTCAAATTTACTTGTCTTAACTTAAAAACAAACAAACAACCAAAAAACAAACAAACAAACAAACACCACCACCAAAAAAACCAAAAGGTCCACAGTGAAGCAGTAAAGAGCTTGCTGTGCTAAAGAGAACAAAAGACTGGTTCTGTCTTCCTACACATCTTCAATTTCTTAATGGGAAAAGGAATGGCTCCAGACAGACTGAACATTAATCATCTGGATTCTTCTGTTTAAACTGTACGTGGAGAGAAACTGTAAATAACAATGTGACCCTTAACACAGATTCCCGTCCATCTCTTCTTTATTGGTATATAAATCTTTCCTGAGCAGCTGAAAGGCCAGCTGATCTCTAGCACTACATTAAAGAAAGAACTCTACCACGTACACACAGAATGACTAAGCTACACCAGCTGCCCACCAAACTGAGAAAGTCCACCCTGAGCTGTACCATACAGCACATGAAAATTCCAGAGTCATAGATTAGTCCTTTTTGCGTGAAGCTGATAAATTCAGGGCATACTTGATCAAAATTTCTTCGTTTTAAAAGCAATATGGTTGCTTGTAAATGTCATGCTAAGTTACAGAACTGCATGAATAATGCAATAAGGACACAGGCTATCATGTTCTTCTCACAGTAGTTACTGTAGGTTAAAGGCCATTTAAGAGCATCTACATTTAAATTCTCAGATAAAGTGGGCTATAAGAAGTTTATTTTTCCCTCAAATGACAGCTCAATGGTCTGTGTCTTTTACCCCTGCAGATGCAAACATTTACCTCAATAAACAGGCTTTTAAGAACTTTGATTTTGTAAATTTAAGTGTCACTCCCTATAGAGTTTGACTGAGAGACTTTAAACAATTAATTTCTGCAGGTCTTATTTCTCTTCTATACTGCAAAACCTGATAATATGAGGCAAATGGCAACAACTCCCTGGTATCCACATCCAGGTTCTGTGGTCATTTCCAACACCACCAAACTCCCAGAGAGCTAACAGCAGGTACTCAAGTGGTCCCATATTTATTAGGCATTAACGCTGATAGGCTAGGTAGAGGCTTTCAATCTACACACAACTCAGGAGGGAGAAGAAAGATGATTCTACAAACAAAGACTTCCGGATTTATTTCATTTACTAACCCCATGAAAAGCAGAACCCACATCAGTTGTTATCTTTAAAGAAAAGCTTTATGCTTAAACCTCTCCTTACATTCCAACTGTGCTAAAATGACACACTGCAGCAAAGCTGAACACCATTTGCAGGTTTCCAAGGACATAATCAGACGAGTTTCTAGGCACATCTTCCCAAGATTGTATTAAAAGAAAAATACACATTTTTCTAAAGGAGATTAATTTAATACAGACTTCAAATTAAGACTCTCACCACAATGTAAAACTTATAATAACAAAAAACCCCGACTTTTTAGGCGGTGCAGAGGGAAGCCAGAAAGCCAGACTCAAGCAGTAGCTGTCTTTTTAGCTAGCAAGAAATCCATGGGTCTATGCTGGAAAACACCTTGCTGGCTCATTTCATCCAGACTAACTAAAATGAACTTAATCAGCACTCTGCAGGGGGAAGAATTGCTTAGGGGGATGACTACAAGTATGTTTCATACATCCTGCAAGCAGCCTTTGCTTATTCCCTTACACCTCATGTTACAGCAAGTAGAGTCTTTACTACTGACATATGGCAAATAATGAAGCAACACAACCTCTTTTCATCCCAGGACCTTCCCTGGTAATGAAGGTGCAGGTTGCCATCACTGAATATGCCCATCTTCTGCATAGACACCATTGACTAGATACTGTTTAGCTGTTGTAACGTATTTCTGGCCTAACTTATATACTAACAATTTGAACTTTCCTTTCTTAATTAAAATAACAAAAAAGTAAAATTATTTTTTGAAGGCAAAATGAATTTGAGCATTGTCTGAAATAGGGACACTTTACTCATTTATGCCTCTCAGTAAGCACAAGGTCAATTTATTTTTTCAACAGAAACAAATGCACAAACATAAACTCACTATCTCCAAATAAGAAAAAAAAATACTATTATGAATGTCAAAACAACCCATGAACTCTTTTTACCCAAGTCTCAGCTAATAAAAGTTTTGACAATATGGGAAGTCTAAGTCCTAATAACACAATTTTAAATAAAATGGAAGTTTAACTGTTCTATATCAAGGCTTTCTTAGTTGTTTTCTTTTAGCTTGGCCAAAAAGGAAGAAAAAAAATTTAATGCACAGCAAGTAATGGAAGCAAAGCACAGTGATTCTAACCACTGAGCCACAAACCATACAGGGAGTCATGAGAAAAGTCACTTGGCAGTAACAGTCATTCTTCAAATAGAAAATTATCAAGAGTTTGTTTTGGGTTTTTTTCCCTCCTCCAGGCATAGCAGACAAAGTTATTCAATTCTAAGATGCCATTGCTATTAAAAATGATTGATCATTGTGATGACTAATTAACATTTGGTAGGAAAGGTTCTTGACTTTTAGAAGTCGAGTGTATCAGTCTCTGACAAGCACACAGTAGTCAAAATGTTGTCTTTTGAAACAGTGTTTCTCTTTTGAAATAGAGGTTTCTCAAGAAAGGTACTATAGCTTATGTTCTAAGTCCAGATCCGCCTTGCCCTCTACAGAGAGGACCACAAAGTTCCTGTCAGTCATAAAGAAACAGTCAAACTTTCCTCAGTTTAATTAGAGGTATCACTCTAATCACAGAAAGTAACTGTAAAAACACAGAAAGAAAACAAATCCATGATTACCATCTTAGTAGTTTGTGGATATCGGGCATGGCTCTTTTCTCCAACAAGCCTTTGCCATTAAAAAAGTCAAAGAAATGAGAAGGAAGGTATAAGCTTACTGGAGTCTCAGCTTTCATCTGGGCCCGCAACTTCTCTCTCATTTCTTTCTCATTGAATTTGGCACTTCTTTTTACATAGACTCCTCCATGCTATCAGAGAGAAAAAAAAGGGAAAGCATTAAGTATTTAAGCAGTTTAATGTAGAACAGCTGATCGAAGAACAAACAAGAGACAATGACAAGTCATCTTTATGACTCACACTGCAAATTGACGACAAGACATTTTCTCCTATTGCAAAAACATGTGAAACTAATTTTACATTTGCATATACTTTAGCTCACAAAATTTATTTTAATAAAAATCAGACATAAAAAACCCCCAATGCATAAAACACTTGAAATGTCTTGTTTAAAGGTGTTAACTAATTAACTAGAAGATGGCATTAAAAGTGACCCCAGGGTATTTATTCCTGGCAGTGCTGACATGCAGCTTCATTTGTGCATCAAGGGAAAAATCAGAAAACTGATACTCACATGTCAGTACTTACACGTCAATGCTTTCAATTCTATATGCCTTCTCTTAAATAGTAATTAATGCAAATACTGGGAAGGCAAGTATCATTTTTCTACATACAAAATTTATCAATAGCACAAAAGTAACTAGCGTAGGTCTTGAAAACCTTCATGCACTTTACTAGAGAACCAGACTTTTAATAAATAAGTATATCCCAGGATAATAATTGAATAAGTAAACCAAAATCTTCACAAAGCAAAGAATTCTATAGAGGTATTTTTACTGAAAATTTTTATAAAAAGTAAAACTATGTCCCTAAGAGATTAATTTTATAACTTGTTGCACACAACTTATCATAAAACTTCAGTAAAAGCACACACAAAGAGAAATTTGCTCTATCATTTCCCTCTTCCACCACGTTGTTTATCTACAGAGAAAGAGTATGCAAACAAACATGCACCAACTATGAACTACTGATACAATGAAGTCTGGAAAAAACATTATTAGTTTGCAAATAACAGAATTTCAGGTTTAAAGTACATTGTTTTCATGGGTTTTCTGACTGACTACATAACTTGGTAATCCTCTTTTCTGTTCACCATGACAATTGGTATTACGATTTGTCAGAAAACTTCTGTCCATTCATGGTTTTGCATGCTCTTAACAGAAAGGTGACAGTAAGATTAAAACTGTTAAGAGCTGAGCCTCATTCAAATACCTGATCTCTGAAAAGATACAGTACATCATAGAAATAGGTGTAGTGGCTGGGTGCAGAGATGTGTACCTGGCATGGACAGGAATAAAATTTGAGGGGTTAGAAGGAGGTGAGCAGACGAGGTGGTCATGCAAAGTGCTTTCAGCATTTGCTTTTCATGGTGTGGAGAGATGGCTGCTTAGCTAGTGGTGTTTGATGTGACTTTTGAGTTGTTCTTCAAAAACTGCAGTGAAAGGGAACAGAAAGCCAATGATGCATTAAGTGCATACTAAATATTCTGTCTTAACTTTATCAACTGTGGTTCCCTCCCAAGGTGAAGTATCCAGCTCGAACGGACAGCTCTGCTGCTGTGACTGGCAGGGGACCAAAACCATGAACAGAATTCCCCAGCTCACTGAGCTTGGCTGTGGCATGGTATTGGGACCATCCAACAAGCAGTTTAACAGTTTCAGACAGAAAGCAGCATGAACAAAAAAACATTTCTTCAGCTGTGTAGCAGAGAGCCTCATGTTATCTCCACATGCCACATATAAGACTGCGTTCAAGATCTGACACTATTAAAGGGAAACAGGAGTCTTAAGCAGACTAAAGTACAGCTGTATTCTGACGCCCAACACAAGCACCCCTTCCAGGAAGGGCAAACTCAGTTTGGTATGGGAAAAAATTAATCTACTATATAAGACTTCCATGTAATGGGTAGGTGATCATTCTCTGTGAGCTCAGCTGGGTCAAGCTTTGATAAATGAGAGAAACCTGGAATAGAGGTATTCCCTTATCATCAAATTACTAATCAGCTGCAGTAAACTGGAAAAATACTGAGCCAACTTTTCCTTGTTTAATTTGTCAATTTGGACAAATGAAGTTACTATTGGAATTTTTGGTCAGGGACACACATCATGACACCAAAGATAGATCTGGTGTTTCATGTCAGACATTTTAATGCTCAGAAATAGATTTGCACATCTCAAGTAAATGAGCACAGAGTCATGTAACATAAGAACAGACGAAGTATCACAAGATCAGCGTTCACTGCATTCACTCCAACTCCACCACTATGGTAGGTCCCTGTGGTTCAGAGGTACAGAGCTAAAGAGAGGGAGGATATGTGGCTAAAACTCAGGAACAGCCAAAAGTGTGCACAAGCTGATGCTGGATAACAGAAAAGATAAAGGCATACTCTCTATGTTAGAAAGTCAAGCAAACTGTGGGGTATCAAAAATCCTTTTAAAAATTACACCCCAGCCTCATCAGGGGTACAAGGTACATAGGAATGAACTGGATAGTATAAGCAAATAGAAGTGATTGAATGAATTGGTAGCAAATGATAGGGGCAAGAAAATATTTCAGATCTACCCAAAAATAATAAAGACAGTTTTAGGAAAAGAAATCGGTTCTACTTAATAAATCACACTTGGAACATAATAGGTTAATTTAAGTGTTTCTTTTCTTTCCTTGCTATTAGATAGCTGCTTCAAAGAAGAATGCTAGTTATGTGATTGTATATAGCTCAAATTCCCCAACTTGTATTGCATTTCCTTTTCAGTAAGAGATCAAATATATGAACGCTCTTCAAAACAGATTTCTGGAAGTACTGTTTTTAAGGTTATAATTTTTTTCCGCTGTACTTTAAAAGCCCCTCTCTCAGTCAACAATGGATTGTGTTTACAAATATACTTCCTTTGTGCCTGAATTTTGCTCTCCTGGACATCCAGACCACGTTTATTTCCAAACAGGATGTTTACCTGAGGAAGGGAATATGAATTCCGTGAGCATGGCGTAACTACGTGGCTCTGGAAACTTTTAGTGGAGTGTAAGTGACATCACTGACAGAACATCAACAGGAAGGGCAGGAAGTGTTTTATGTTTTTGCACTGTTTGGTGTGATAAAAACAATAAAAATACCTATTAGCTTGCACTGCAGGCCTTCTGCATCCCGTCTCAGTCATTTAGTCATATATGCATCACCACTGCCTGTCAATTGTGTCAAAGATTTAAATATATATATAAAAGTATATATAATCACCCCCCACTGAATCTTGCAGAAGTTTTATTTTTTGAGGAGTCCAAATCTGAATAGATTTTATTTAATATATACATGTTTTGATTAAAAATGTAGGTGACATTCAGATTAATTTCCACAGGAACCTCCTTTTAACAGTCAATATACAGCTCAGGAAACTGAGCACCGGATATTCCACATAGCAAAAGTAATTTTCCAAAATCTTGAAAAAAAAATTTCCGGAAATCTAGTGATAGTGGATGGAATATATATATCCTGTTTGTATTTTAATTAAAGCAGACTTAAATCACCACCACTGTAATGACTAAAGGCAAGGACAAAGAGCAAAATATTTCCATAAGCAGATCAGTCACTTTGGTGGACAAAAGTGTAGAGAAGCATTAAGGGCAAGCATTAGACAAGTGAGAATTCCATTTTCTCCTTATGCATACCCTTAGTGAGGTATGACAGGGTCTGAGAGTTTGTAGTTATTTAGGGGACAGGGACAGCAAACCTACCAATAAAAGAAATTGTGAATAGTTTTCTCATTTTCTCTGCAGCATATACTTCTCCAAACATACTACATTTAGCAGAAACAATGTCAATCACCCATGCTCCAGCCTAGATCTATAGCCTACTCACTAAAGTGCTATCCAAAAGACAACAAAGATTTTCATCCATGAAGCTGAAGACACTGGATGTGCTGCAAAGATGAGGGAGAGTAAATCCTCCTATTTGGACATACACTTGTAGTTGCCTACTCTTCATACATTCCTTTACAAATTAATATATAGTTCCAATCATACTCAGCATAATATTTTTCTCAATGTTCTCCCCCTTCTTGCCCTCTTGGACAGGGTTGACAGTCAATTCAATCAAACTGTCTAATTGAATTAGAAGTATTTTCCTAAGCATGTGGGGTGGTTTTTTGTTTTGTTTTGGTTGGGATTTTGGGTTTTTCGGGGGGCATTTGTTGTTTTATTTTTTATTTCTTTGCCTGGGCAATAAGGTGAGGGACAGAAAGCAGATTAATATTCAGAGAACACATTAAAGCAAATGGAGAAGACAAAGGAGAGAAGCTTTATTGAACACTTTGGAACTTTGGAACCACTACCCAAAACTCTATCCATTTCTATTTTAATAACTAAGCACCCATCTAAACCCTGAGATAAGTACCATGAAGCAATTTCTGCTCACCTAGAAAAAGGCCAGTACTTTCAAAACCATCCACCTCTATACTTTATTTTGTTTCACATAGAAATAGGCCTGCTTTCAGAAAAAGCAAACAACAGACATGACAAATTCACAGAGGATTTTAGGGATATAAGCCATCTACACTGCTCTCCACCATTTTAGACTGAAGATCATATCCAGTCAGTACGCTGGCTGCTCAGTGAAGCCCACTGTTTCTCAGCAATTCTATAAAATTAAACCACATCAGGTTGAGCTCTCAGACTAGAAGAAACAAAAAGATTATTATGCAGAAAGAGGAGAAAGAAGAAAATGGGAATACTGTTAGATTCAGGTTTTTGCTTAATTGAAGTCCAAAATAACCATCAGCATTTTCATGGAAGCAGGATCTCCCTTTCCTCCACACTACACTAACATCCAATTTTTCTCTTTAATATTGTGCTAAAACCTAAAAACTGAAATACAAATAAATACATCAAACAGTAATGCCAATTTACTCCTAATCTGTAGCATGATACAAAGAAAAAAAATCTGTTTACACCTTCTGCTAATCTTCTGAAAGCGTGACTACAAACTGGTTTTAGACTGTAAAAAGACCAAAGTTTTAGAATATTCTGAAATACTCCTAAAAGACTCTAAAGTTTTAATTTTATCCATAATAAGTATTCATTTAGAAAAATAAACTGAATCTTGAGTAACTGTTTCTCAACTAAGATACACATCTAACTACACTGTGTGAAGCTAGTTGCTTTCATGTTCAAATAATTGAATGCCAGCTCAGAACTGTATCTTCATAGCATGCATGGAAAACAGAGAGAGTACATCTTACATGTTTGACTCACAAACAGCAAGCAAAGTGGCTCACCTGTGAAAAGTACCACCCGTACAATGGAAGCCATTTTAAGCCATCCTTCAGGACATAGCGGACGTGCCCGAGTGCGTTCTGCCTGATCGCCAGCATGTCTGCGATAATCCAATCAACTGCAGTGACAAAAGTCCAAAGCAATCAGCTAAATGACCTCTTAATTGCCACTGATGAATCAAAAAGTACATATTGTATGTATAAATGTCATTAAACGTATTTGAACTAGAAGTTCTTGCTTGTTAGGGCAAGCCTGGAAAGAGACACAGCAAACAGACAAGCCAATTTTTAAAACCTATAAAAGTGTTAAGCAAAAAAAATACAAACCTGTACACTGATGATTTGATAAATATATTACATTTTCTTTATTTTTTGGCAAATCCCCGTAGATAATTACCTACAAAAAAAAAAAGGCATTATTACTTTATAATTTATTTTCATTGCATTAGGCAGTGATGAGATCCAATGCAGTAATAGGGTTTTTACTAAGAAAACTGTCAGCAACTTAGCGTCATTAACAAACACCCTATCAGTACCCACCACACAGACTACTGTCTTATCAACAAAGCTGTAAATACTAATTAATGAGGGCTTAAGAAACTTATTCTGTTCTTGTGCCATAGCACCAGAACTGGATCCATGGAATGTTACCTTCAGCCACAAGCTCCCTACATTAATATAATTGAAGTTAATGGGGAATCACAGGCATGTACAAAATCACCATTTATTTATACATCTAATGAATAAGACATGCTTTATCTAGACACTTGAACCTAAAATGGTAAATTTTCCTGGATTAGATCAAGAACAAAATCTCAACCATTTGCCATTATTTTAACCATTAAAGAGTGAATAAAAAAAGCATGAGGTTAAAGGATGCCTTTAAATTAGTCTGTGGCTTCCAAAGAGCAGGGTTTTTTTATATGTTTTTCTTCTGCTACATTAAAGACACACTTCAACCTTGTAGTGTCTCACCCCTGAAAGGTCCTGGACTACTAGTGAAATAATCTTCTGAGAGCATGACTACAAAACAAGATGTTGATGCTAGAATATTGATCACCCTTTTAAAATGGATTCATTCAATTAACTAATTTCTCATTTTATACTTGAAAAAAAAATTAATTCTGAACTGAAGAACCAATCCAGCTGTTCAATTACCTTTAATAAACATTTTCACTACTTAATGAAGCATATTTTTTCTAACCAGTACATTCTAGGTAGGTGTTCACCATTGTTCTGCCAATGGACATAACCCTTGTTTCTAGAAGTATCAGACATAAATGCTACTTTGAAATTATTCCATTTACCAAAAAAGCAAAGTGCTATATGGAAGGTTTACCCACTTATTTTCATCACTTCCCTAGTCTGGAAAATACTGGAATTTCATCAGGAAGAACTAACATTCATATCTTAATTGGTATCATTTAGTATGCCAAGTTTTATATTGATCCTTATAGGAGGTCTCTATATCAGGATCTCTGGAAACTCTGTCCATCTCTCAAGTAACCTGTGATACTGGACGGCTAATGTCTCCCCACAAAACCACTGCATGTTTCACATTCCTACTGTTTCTTCTTTGAAAATACAACCACACTGTTGATCAAGTTTTGTTTTCAAGGCCAAAATCTTGAATTGGCAAACTGAGATACTCAGTTAATATGTGAGCAAGAGGTCATTCAGCATAGAGTAAAAGAGGCTATAACTTGAGTTATTTTTTTCCAAAAACAAAAAAGAAAAGGCATGCACAATAAATTCTAACTGAACAATATTTGTAACAGATCAGTTGACAAGTATATTCTGAACAGTATCTGAGAAATTTGAACAAGATTCTGCTATAGGAGTAGTATTCTCATTGAAGTACCAGAATTTATAACCTTACTGCTGACATTAGGTACCACACACAGTTTACAACAAGGAGCAGTCTGAGGGTTGAATTTACAGTTCAGATGCCCAAATTCCTCTGAAATAAATCCTCCTACTCTCACTTACAGAGTTAAAACTTCGCTTTACAAGTGTATGCTTTCCTAGCACTGTTACGCATGACGTCCATAAACACTGTTGTCTTTAATTTCAAATTAAGACTCCACTATGCAGTTTCTGGCAAAGAGAATTTTAGAGTAAGAGAGAAGGCCCAATACAACAAACCAGAAGGTCTTGAATGTTATTTGAGCTTTTCTAAAGTGTAGAAAAAAAATAAGAACAAGAGCAAAACAAAACCTGCCCTTGACCCTAAGAGCTGCCCCACACAAGAAACAGGGTTTGAAATACACAATTTTTAACTTCAACTTGTAAATATTTCCACTTTAATATACCAAGTCAAAATCTCAGTGCAATCAGACTCACAATTTAAAGCATTTGCTTTGGACTATTGCATGGGTAAAAACAAATATAAAGGATCATTCCCATAAAAAATATATATATGCTCGTGCCTGCCAAATATAACAGTTAATCTGGGTAATTTTTTATTTCAGTAAGATTGGATCTAGTTCACTTTTTAACCCCAGAGGAACACCCACTCACTGTTCCTGTAAACAACTTCTATGCACAACATTATGGCTTACCCTAAGGGTTAGATGTGTTTACATGTAATGGACCAAAATCTTTTACTCATGATAAAACACACAGCCAAACTAAAACTAAAAAAGAAAAAAAAAAAACAAAAAACTAAACTAAAGAACTAAAAAAGAAAAAAAAACTTATTTATATTAGTTCTCATTAAACACACAAAAACTCAATGTTTTATTTCAAAGCAAAGGTAAGAATGAGAAAATCTGAAAGTTCTATTTAGTTTGCACAGATGGCTCAGCCTAAGAGGATGGACCAGCTTTATCCACAGCATCATCCACTTCAGCACCACCCATCTCACTGATCTCGAGGGAAAGCTTACACAGTTCATTAAAGGCCAGAAAACAGCTATTCACCTTAGACACTCTCAGTTAAAGAACTCAGCTACAAACTTACAACTGTTACTACAAGTAGCTAAGAATGGCAACTTCCAGCCTGCAGCCCCAGGAGACACCTACTCTGTGGGCACCCACGCAGCTCTCCTTCTGAGACCAAAGCATTTTTACTTCATCAGGCTTCTGAAAATATTCACCATACAAAACAGAAGGGTAACAGTTAAGAGCTTTGAATTCCACATGAATGTTCTTTTCCCTTTGAGATGGTGTCTGAGGAATAAACCTGACTGTGTATAAGCAGAAGAGTCTGCTCAGGACAAGACTCCAATTTCTGGCCATCTGATGTGTTTAGGTAAACCAGAGCACCTAAAGTACATTATAGCTGCAGAAGGAAACAATACTCTTCTTTATGGCCTCCAGAAAACCTTGAACTCCCTGCTGTTTTTCTTAGCTAACTTTGCAGAATTCCTTGCTGCACAGGCTGTGCAGCCTCTAACTCTTTCTCATTTAGCTGGTGCAGATGTTTGGGGGCCACAGTGAATTACATAATCACAGGATGTTCTGATTTGGAAGGGATCCACAAGGATCCTCGAGTCCACCTCTTAAGCAAATGCCCATATGGGGAACGAACCCATACCATGGCGCTTCTAGCACTGTGCTGTAAGGCAGCACTTGAGTGGGACTGCAGTGCAGAAACAGGAGTCCACAGCGCCCACCTGTATTCAAGCCCCTTTGGATGCAACCTGAAGATATGAGAGTGCCTTAAAGACTCACAGCCCTCCTCAGAGGAGCAGTGCTGCTCCCAGGATGTGCAGAGCATTGGGAGGGGTGGTCTTGTCCCCTGCAGCCAGTGTCGGGGAAGCAGCACAGGACATGCTTGGGAGGCAATTTGAATTTTAATATAGTGTTTCACATTTTTCATGCATGGCTCTCCAGACACTACAGTATACATATATTCTACCTATAAGCTTAATGAACTGATAAAGTGCCCTGTCAGCCACAATGAAGCAAGTGAGGAACCTGTTCATTTAGAATAGAATCTGCTGTTTAGAAAAAAGGCACAGTGAAGTCAAGCAAAGAAAACAAGTCAATAGGAAGAGCAACACAGCAAGCCAAAGTAAGCAGAGATTTGAGGGAAAATGTTTAAAATGCAGATGTACAGTCTAACACTGCAAACATTACTTGTGTACACAACACTGAAATGTGTGCTTTTAGCCATGTTTTGGTTGCTTCACAGCCCAGTTCAAAGTAAGGGTAATACAGTTAGTGTTAATGTGGGTATTTCACATCTGTTTACACAGCAGCACTGTCAAACTCAATACAGTGAGGTCTCAAATACAGGAAACTGGATTCTGTTAGATCCCTTCTGCGGGAAGGCTGGTACCCAGCTTCCATGGATGCCATACACCAAGTTGTTCCCTGGCTCAGTAGCCACAAGACACACCTCAGGGTGTCCTGTCCAGGTGAAGCTTTGATGAATTAGCAGGATGTTACAAGTAGTTCTGCTGAGAGAATGTGCTAATTCAGTGATAGGCTGATCTAGGCATGCAAATGGGACCTCCTGGGTGATCTGGTGACACCAGTTTCAGCTTCCCTACCAGACTGCTTTTTCCAGTGCAAGGTACTCAACTACGGCTTTGCTAATTGTGGTAGGTCACGTATAAATATGAAACAGTACTGCATGGCAGCCACACCCAAATAACCCATAATTTACATACGTTTTCACTGAAACAAGGTGGACACTCCTTAGAGTTAAGAGTTGTATTTCTTGCTTATGAAATCTTTACATACCAAAGAAAATTAAACAGATAATTTAATCACATCCTAGCAGTATCAGCTCAGTAAACACTTCCATGGCAAAAATAAATGTAGGTAAAAGTAACATACTATCAGAAGATCTGCTTGCAGATCCAACTGGTTATCACATCAAGGTCCTAGCAAAGAGATTACCTTAATATTGTAATTAGATGCAGCTGATAATGGGAGCAGTTAGAAGCTGCTCTGCAAGCAGATCTGATAGTGTGACTTCTGCTTCATAAGCATTAAGGCAATACAACTGGTTATTGCTGGTAAAAACTTGGGCCAACTTACTGTCATTACTTTCCTTTTTGTAAGAAAACTATAGTAGCAACCTATATAGATTAAGTCGGAATAAATCATACCATCAGATGTTAAATATTAAGCCTGTACATTCTTATTTTCATAAGAAAATAAGCCTTTTAGCCTTACAGTCTAAATTGACAAACTTTTATGAATGGTTGGTTATACTTCATTCCATATATTAGATACATGTATAAAAGTAATTTTGTTCTGATGCCGACTGTAAAGGCATTACAGATTCTGAGCAGAATTAAAGATAATTGTCCCTTGTACTCCTTAGCTCTCTGATGAATCCTTAAGAAAATTTTTAAATAAACATCTGTATATATTAAATGTTCCAGTTGATAGCAGGAAAACCCCCCAATATTTACAATGATTTTAATTTTAAGATTCTGAC